GAGAAAGATGAGGCTTTCTACTCCCGTAAAGATTTACACCCTCGGAAACCCTGTACAGGGTCGCTATGGGTCGGACCCGACTCAAAGGCACTTAACAACAACAACAACAACATGTGAGGTTAATGGGAATGGAAAGAGTCTAGCAATTTGTTGTAAAACTAAGCTTATACCCACCCTGGGGTGGTGGTAGTGTTGGTTGTGTGCCACTGAGTTGGTTCTGACTCATAGCAACCCTTTATCATTTCTGAGGCTGTAAATCTTTACGGGAGCAGAAAGTCTCATATCTTTCTTCCAGAGTGAGTGGTAGATTCTGGGTATTAACTGGAATGTGGTTAGCAGCCCAGTTCATAAATCAGCTACGTTACCAGGGCTCTTTATATCCATCCTGCTGTTGTTAGGACTCAGTAACTGCCTTTTAGGTAATGACCCAAAAGGAAAGAATATGCTTACAAAAAGGTTTATACAAAAATAAACACTTTATTTGTGATAGTTCCAAACTTGAACCAGCCCAAGTGTTCATCAATCGGAGAATGTGTAAAACTGTGGCATAATCATACAAAGGAATTCTACTCATCAGGAAGACTAACGAACTACAGATATATGCAAACACATGAATGAATCTGAGAAGGATTACTAACACTAACAGTTGAGACTACATACTGTACGATTCCAGTTGTATAAAATCAAGAACGAATAAAACTAATTTATGGTAAAAAAAGAAGGTTCCAAATAGTGGTTGCCTCTAGGAACAAGTCTACAAGAACCAAAATATGACCTTGGATATATCTCTTGGAATTTAGAGATCATGTGAAGAACAGATTCCCTGCATTAGACACTAATGATCAAAGACCAGAAGAGCTGTGGGATGACATCAAGAACATCATACAAAAAGAAAGCAAATGGTCATTAAGAAGACAAGAAAGAAGAGACCAAAATGGATGTCAGAAGAGACTCTGAAACTTGCTCTCTACCATAGAGATGCTAAAGCAAATGGAATAAGTGGGGAGGTATAAGAGCTGAACAGAAAATTTCAAAGGTCAACTTGAGACAAGTCAAATATTATAATGAAATATGCAAAGACCTGGAGTTATAAACTAAAAGGGAAGAGTACTCTCAGCATTTCTCAAGCTGAAGGAACTGAAGAAAAAACTCAAACTTCAACTCGTAGTAGTAAAGGTTACTATGGGCAAATTATTGAATGATGCAGAAAGCATCAAAAATAAGATGGAAGGAATATACAGAATCACTGTACAAAAACAAATGGTTGGTGTTCAGCCATTTCATGAGGTAAGGTAGCATAAGATCATATGATTCTGAAGGAAGAAGTCCAAGGTGCACTGAAGGCATAGGCAAAGCACAAGATACTGGGAATTAATGGAATACAAACTGAAATCTTTCAACTGATGAGGTACTGGAGGCAGTCACTAATCTATGCCAAGAAATTTGGAAGACAACTACTTGAAGAACTGAGATCTGTATTTGTGCCCATTCCAAAGAGAGGTGACCCAATGGAATGCAGAAGTCACCAGACAATATCATTGATATCCTATGTGAGTAAAGTTTTTCTAAAGGTAATACAAAAATGGTTGCAACCATACATTGACAGAGAACGTCCAGAGGTTCAAGACAGATTCAGAAGAGGTTGTGGAATGAGGGAGATCACTGAAGATGTCAGATGGATCTTGGGTGAAAGCAGAGAATACCAGAAAGATGTTTACCTGTGCTTTACTGACTACACAAAGACTTTTGATTGTGTGGATCATGACAAACTATGGACACCATTGTAAAGTATGAGTACTCCAGAACACGAAATTGTGCTCATGCGGAACCTGTAAATAGATCAAGAGGAAGCTGTTCTAACAAAACAAAGGAACACTGAATGGTTTAAAATTAGGAAAGGTGTGCACCACGGTTGTATTCATTCACCATACTTATTTCATCTGTATGCCGAGCAAATAATCTGAGAAGAGGGATTATATTAAGAAAAATATGGCATCAGGATTGGAGGAAGACTCATTAACAACCTGTGATATGCAAATGATATAACCTTGCTTGCTGATAGTGAAGAGGACTTAAAATACTTACTGATGAAGATCAAAGATCACAGCCTTTGGTATAGGTTGCATTTCAATGTAAAGTATACAAAAATCTCCCACCACTGAACCAATAAACAGCATCCATATCAATGGAGAAAAGATTGAAGTTGCCTAAGACTTCATTTTGCTTGGATCAACCATCAACACTCATGGAAGTCACAGTCAAGATATTAAACGACATATTACATTAGGCAAATCAGCTGCACAAGACCTCTTTAAAAGAGTGTTGATGAGCAAAAATGTCTTGTTTGAGGACTAAGGTGTGCCTGACCCAAACCATAGTATTTTCAATAATCTCATATACATGTAAAAGTTAGTGAATAAGGAAGACTGCAGACAAATTGATGCATTTGAGTTATTATGTTGGAGGAAAGTATTAAAAGTACCATGGACTCTCCAAAGAAAAAACAAATCTGTGTTGGAAGAAGTGCAGCCAGAGTGCTTCTTGGAAGCCAGGATGACCAAACTTCATCTCTCATACTTTGACCACATCTTCAGGAAGGACCAGTCACTGAAGAAGAATACCATGTTTGATTGAGTGGAGGGTTGCGATAAAAAAGGAAGACCCCTAACAAGATGGATTGGCAAGGTGGAGGCAACGATGGGCTCAGGAGTAGTAACGATTGTGAGGTTGGTCCAAGACTGGGCAGTGTTTCGTTCTATTGTATGCAGGGTTGCTATGACTCAGTAGCGACTTGATGGCACTTAGCAACAACAACTTGGAGGACAGAGGTGAGAAAAAGACATGAGGGAACTTCCTGGGGCGATGGGAAGATCCTACATTTCCAGACAGTTTGCATCAAATGCAAAACTTGGTGAATGTACATACATATTTAACGTTAAGAAAAATCTAAACAATATTGAACGCACTGACTGTCTTCAGAGCCCCAGCAATCCGCTGGGGAGGACAGACTCACCTTATCTTTATAAGTATCAGGCAGTGACTTGGCTGTCTCTGTGTCTTCAGGAAGATTAATGTAAAATCCCAAGACGTCTCCCTGTCCATAGCCAGAAGAGTAGTGTTTGCCAATGGACTGGTGGAATTTGGTTCCCTTTTTGCTTCGCCAAGAATAGCTAAATTTATCATAACCTAAGGGAGCTTGAAGGTTACCTGTTCCAATAAAAGAAAATGCAGGAAGTCAGAGGGATTACAAATTAACTTTAGGTTGCTAAAGGAAACTATTTTTGTCTTTTTTGATCAGTTTTATAAAATTCCTAATTAACTGTTATCTCATAAGCAAAGAATTATAAAAATATTCCTAAAAATGTCAAACCATGTAACCTCTCAGGAATTGAATTGTCTGTCTATATATATCCTGTAAGTTCAAAGTCTTGATGCCTTAGTCAGATGGGTTACACTGGTATCTGTTGTACTGTCCGTATAATGGGCTCAACTTACCTAAGGGCTGGGACCAACCCAGTCTAGCAGCAGTGTCTGGGGGCATCTCATCCACAGTGATTTCAAAGTACCAGGAACCCTTCCGTACCCCATGAGAGGCCCGCACCATAGAGTATCCTTTTTCTCCAATCACAGTCAGTCGGTCATCAGATATCTTCAGCTGGGGAGCTGGAGTGATGAGATTAAAACAGCCCTGTAATTTATTTGACGTACTTGGAGGCAACTGCTACAAAAACATTAGTCTCTTAGACTACAGTAAAATAAAATAAAAACGAAAAAATATCAGGTCAGGAATTAAAATAATCTCAACATAAGATACAAAGAAAAGGAAGAAAACTGTAAGATTTAACTTTTTATTTTGAAACAATTTCAGACTTAAAAATTTACATGTACTCATGTATCTACCATTCAGCTTCTCCAACTGGTATTTCATGTATAACCATAATACAACAAGTAAATTCAGAAAGTTAATATTGATGAACACTATTAACTAACCAGTAGAGTACAATCAAATTAAGTCAATGATCCTAATAACAGCCTTTTCCTAATTGAGGGATCTAATTCACTGCATTTAGTTGTCATGTCTTGTTAGTCTTCTCCAATCCAGGAAGTTCCTCAGCCTTTGTCTTCCCCTGTCCCAGCCTGCCTTCAAGGCTCTCAGTCCTGGTCACTACTTAGTTTGCATGATGGCCCTCAGTTACGATAGTCTGATATTTGCTCATGATTTTTCAGATGGCCAGGCTTTTCTTTTGAGGCAGCCAGATCACGTGGCTTAGCTGCTTCCATATTCTTGACCCTTAGAACTACAAGGCAATTTGTTATACAGCAGCAGATAACACAAGGGGACTGTTGTGGTTCATAAAAATATACACTAAAAAATTGTAACCATTGAAATGAAACGCTGAGTGTAAAACCAATGTTCTCCCATGTAAACTATCACTCAATTCACAATAAAAACTTAAAAAAAAAAAAGACTCCAGAGTGATAGGGCATCTTGACAACGTACTCTCAAATGGTTCAGGACAAAAAAGAAAACTGTACTGTTAACTTTGAGATAGTGCTAAAATAAAAAGTTAAAAAAAGATACAATATAGACTCATCATTCATTTTTATGAAGCCCATAGAAGACTACCTTACTGCTTTGTTACCCTGTGTATTGATTTCCAATTAGTTACTGCTATGGGCTATGTTCTTTCTCACATCCCTCCCCCATCCCACTAGAGCTGTTCCATCACCCTTCTGTCATCAAGTCAATTCCAACTCATAGCGACCTTATTAGGGTTCCCGAGGCTGTAAATCTTTATGGGAACAGAAAAGTTCCTCTTTCTCCCCCAGAGTGGCTGGTGTATTCAATCTGTGGACCTTGCAGTTGTCACTACCAGGGCTCCTTAAGTGTAGTACAACAAGATAGTGCATTACTGGCCCTTACCAACCATCACAGTATTCACATTATGGGAGTCAACAAATTCACATAGAATGGATGTTAAATTCACTTTATACCATGATTACTTCACTTCCAAATGAATGGCATCAATATAAATGCTATAGTTGCTAGCATTTTTTGTTAAGTGCCATTGAGTTGGTTCCAACTCAAAGTGACCCTGTATAGGGTTTCCAAGGAGTGGCTGGTGAGTCTGAACTGCCAACCTTGTGTTTAGCAGTCCACTGCTTATCCTACAGGGCATTTAGATAAAGAAATAATGGGCCTCCAAATGTAATAAATATATGGACCTGTTTGGATCCATTCAAGCTAATAACTGTTAAAAGACTATTTGAAACAACTGTAAAAATCTGAATATGGACTGGTTATTATTTAATTAAGTAATTATCATTAAGTAGGATAATGCGAGCCATGAACTGCTAACTGCTAAGAGTCAGCAGTGCAAACCTACCAGTTCCTCTTCAGAAGCCCTATACAGATTACAATAGGTTGAAATTGACTCTATGGTACTTAACAAAAACAAAAACAAGAGATTGCCATGTTTCAGGCTTGCAGAATGTGCCCTTTGGTTGTTTAAATTATTATATATTCATGAGTGTTTTTGTGTACATCCCCCCAAAAATCAAAACAAAAAAAAAGAGGGAATAGAAGCAAATACTATTGAATGATGATCCACGAAGGGGACTGTAACCATTGCAATGAAATGATGAGTGTAAAACTGATGTTCTTCCATGTAAACTATCACTCAATTCAAAGTAAAAACTTAAAAAAAAAAAAAAGAGAGAGAGAGAGAATACCTTAGGCCGCTTATTGGAAGAGACTTACTGACTTTTTGTCTGCTCGACAGGTATGTTATGTTAAACTTTTCCACTACAATGGCAAATTTGCATTTTAACCTTACATTCCTGACGATTTTTGCTTTCAGACATATTAGTAAATGTAAACATAATAAAAAAAGAGATTTCCATGTTTATTTAATTCTAGACTGGGCAAAGCTGATGAAAGTATTCAAAGTAAGACAGGGTCCAACATTAATACTTACATACCTCTATCATGCAGGGCTAACAAAACCCGTTCATATAAGCAGGCTCGGTAGAGGTCTCCAGGAATAGGTTTTCCTGCCCAACAGTCAAGTTCAAGCTTCTCAGGGTCAGGGGCATGGGGATCAGGCTCAGCTAGAATATATCGATATCCATCTTTGTTAAATGGATGTTCCAAAGGGTAGCCATGAGGAGGAAGACGCTGAGCAGAAAACAAAGGGTCACTGCAGAAAGGTAAAAATAAAATCATATTAAAACCCCCTCTAGCTCAATTGCCTTGAAGTCTGTAATAAACATCTCTGAGTTATATTTCTGCGGAAACATGAACTTTTCACAACAAATGCTTTTTCATTACTCAAACAGACCATCCTACCCTATGCAGGGAAAACAGGGTTATAAAAAGGATTGGCTTGGCTCTACCTAAAATGAGGGGGCGATAAAGACACAAAGTGACTGACTTACAAGTTTTCCAAGAGAGAGTTTAGTTTAAGAGTGTGCCGGGGAAGATAGAGTTCCCACTGAATAGTTTTCATCGTGTCTAGATGGGTCTGGGAAAAGGAGATGGGGATAAGATTCTTATGATTCAATAGTAATTGCTATCATGACTAATTGAGACTGTCACAATTGTAAAGGTAGAAGTTTTGTAACAAAACCTGGGAAGTAGTTAATCTTACAGTCCAGAAACAGAGGACCCTAGGATCATCAAGGGAGAAGAGTATGAGCAGATTGTGGGACCTTATCCAGAGAAGCAGCGACACCAAAGATGGGGTCATGGAGAGAGGGAGCAGCTAAGGACTCTAGATTCATGGAAAGAGAAGGCTTGAGAGCTGGCGGCCAGGAAGCAGGCTTGCAGAATGTGCCCTTTGTTGGTATAAATTATTATATATGCCTGAGTGTTTAAAAAAAACAAAAGCTAAAATAGCTAAAATGAATATAGAGAAATACTGTTAACTGATGGTCCATGGAGGAGATTATGATCACTGTAATGAAACCAAGTATATGATTTGTTGAATGTAAAACTGATGATCTGCTCTGTAAACTTTCACTCAATTCACAATAAAAACTTAAAAAAAAAAAAAGAAACTGAACCAGTATATTCTTATATTATTATAAACAAATAACTGGAAGATCAAAGATACAAGCATTTGCTATCTGTTGCTAACCCAAGCAAGTGACCTGAAATTATCACCTCAGTATTGCGCAGAGGTCAGAGCAGAAGCATGGATGGTGAGAAGCAGCAAGTTCATGTAAAGAAGTGAACATCCAATATAAGTTTTACTCCTTCCACATCTGTTTCAAGATGCCTCAACAGAACTTTACTTCTCAGGCTTATTATCAAAGGGTATTTCCCTGGTTCCAGTTTGTATAGTAATGTGGTGTAGTGATTTAATATGGCTCAGCTTTAGTCTTTGTAACTCCCACCAAACGACTTTATTTCTGATGGGTCTGAATAAGAGAAAGTGGCAGAAGATACTGATAGGATGGCATGATTCAGTTGTGGAAGTTAACAGAGTTCACTGTAATTGTGAAAACTTGGAATTCCAATGTGGGTTTAAATTGAGCCCTCTCAGAAACAGGAAGGAGGCTCTCACTACAATCAAAGAACCAAGAGTGGAGCCTGTCCTTTGGAACTCAAGATCCTTGTGCAATGAACCTCCTCGAACAGGAACAGAAAGCAGTGACTCTGAAGGAGTGGCAGAAAGAGCAGCAGCAGCAGAACCAAGAACCAGAACACAAAATAGCAGTGGACTTCCCAGCCCACAGAGAAATTAATGTTGAATGACTTTGGGCAAGAAACTTGCTTACAGAGTGGGGTGCCTCCAGGCACTTAAGTGGGGGAACTAGGTTTGCTGACCTTTAGAGTTAGAGTCCAGTGCCTTCAGACTGAGGCTTATGGTAAAGTGGTGTGTCCTATGGGCATTTATCAGCAGTTGACTCGAACAACTGTGCTCTGAGCATTTCAGACCCTGAATTGTAACCTGTTAACTTTTAATTAATTCCATAACTGTGAGTACTGTCTCTGAGTTCTGTGTGGCCATTGCAATAGATTATCAAACCCAACTGAGGAGTAGAGAGGGTTGTAGGAGAAAGGGACAGTGCTTAATTTTTGCAAGTAACATGTTAGAAAAACACAACCTTTCATGTGGGGTTACTGTGCCTCTCAAAAATGCTCAAGGTTTGAGAAAAAATGAATAGGCTTTTTAATGTCAAACACCTGAGCTACTGAAGAGGTTGCCTCTAGTCAATTTTGTCGGCACAAAAGAATACTTCAATGTTTGTGGGTGAGGAGGGATGTTCTCCCACCTCCGGGTCTTCTTGGTAGTCCCCGTGGTCCCTCCGTCCTGCTGTTTGCGCTTAGCTCCTCTTCCCTTTCCACTGCTTCCTGCTGTAATTCCTCCTTTGAAGAGAAGACAGATCATGTTCAACCAGCACCATATGGATAATGAAATTCCTTGGGAACTAACACATCTAACATGCATTTGTGTAACACCACAGAAAATTTCTTTCTGAAAACATACAGGATTTCACCCTGATTCTAAAAGAGTCTCTAGATGGTCTTACGGCCTAGAACACTGAATTCTGACAGCAAAAAACTAAACATATTGGTGTTGCATTTCCAAGCTTCCATTCTGAATGAAACTGTAACTATTAGCACACTTTCTGAAGGTGTGACACAAGTGCATTTTAACTTATGAAGATTCCAAACACCCATAGCTAGAAAGAATGAAAACAAATGCATGGATAAAGCCTTCCTCCCCTACCAGCTCCCGCACCACCAAATCAGTACATAAGATAGAATATAAGATATAAGATAGAATATACGATAGAAAATCTTCACTTGCTTAAAATGCATGATATATTCCATAAACATAATAAAGACAAGATATTTGCGCTTAACTTGAATAACCAACAAGACAAAAGTACATCAAACATGGAAAACAAAAATCAAAGTACTAAAAGGTGTTTCTCTCCAGTACTACTAGATACCCAGTGAGGCTGTGCATAGCTCCAGACCAAAGGCTTTAAATTCAGCAGGCACTTTTTAGCTCCATACCCATTCATCAATTTAACAGTTAGATCATGCTAAGGTGTAAGTCAGGCTAGAGTACCTGGCTTATGGAATTAAGAAAAATATGAAAAAAATAAGAGATCATTTACAAACTTTACACAGAAAAAACACAGCTTTATATATAGCCCTGGAATGTCTGGTGTATTTCTGAAATTGGCACTTTGAGTTTCTGCTGAATGCTGACAGTCCTCTTAGTTAGTCTGTTTTTTCCCCTTCCTTGAACTGTAGGAAAACACCTTTATGTAAACAACTGCATAAAGTACTAGATCTTAAGTTGGGGCAAGCTTGGAAATTATCAGCAGTTCTGCTGCAATAAAAAGGATCATATTCTGCACAAACAGGACCAGACCTATGCAGAACTTACTTTTAAGAACACATCATCAGGTGATACTATTTCTCACAAAAAGTTTAACTTCCAACTGTCGCAACATCAATTATCCCTAGTTTGAGTTACCTTAATCCTGCAATAGTTTTTTCATCACTTGCATTTTAATTTTCTTAAGAGTAAAGTTTTAGATCTATTAATCGCAGAACAAGCAACATCAAGAGGACCGCAGGCCACGTAAGGCAGAATATGACAATATACAAGCTTTTAATTACTAACATTAAACTGGAACTACTGTTTCATATTAAGTGCTATTGCCACCATTTCCACAATGCTTTAAATTTTTTTAGTTTTAGCTTCTACCACAATTCAGCAAAAAGCATTTTCCAAACCACAAAATACTTAAGTCTGAGAGGCTGAAAGAAGACAGAGGAGGCATTCACCTCCAAAAGAGGCTCCACCTGTAAGAACAGAAGTGGCACCATGTATTTGTCAAATTTCAACAATTCATAGGGAAAAAATGGTGTAAAAACAGAGCACACTTAGCAATTTCTAACACATCTTAGAATATTAATAACATTTTAAAAATTAGATTTTTAAGATTCTACTACTACGAAAGACAAGTTACTGATGTCATATGTCAGATAAAAAGCTGGCTACTTCCCAGGTACTCCAACTCACATGAGATCACCATTGGTAACCAAGGGCATTCCTAGTATTAGAGGACTTAACAAACAGAAAAGCATGCTATAACCAGTGATCAACACAGAAACGCCATCATATGAAAAATACTCTCTGAAAAACTTCAAGTTTCAGAGGAAGGAAAATTAGAAAATGAGTATACAAAGTTAACAGGGTAATTAAAGGTGAATTAAGGGAAGACAGTGAAGGGCAACTAAATCTTTCTACACTAAATATTAGTTGTGAAGTTACTGATGGAGACTCTAATATAAGCACAGTACATCTGACATTAAAATTATACCTTGTTTTATGCTAAATCTGTATCACCTAAGACCAACCTGTAGTGGAAAAGTGAACAAAAGTTCTCTTCCATTATCATCTGCCAAATCCTTGGCTAGCTCCTAAAAATTGGGTTTGGGACTTAAAAGCATCTAAATAAATATCCAGTAGAGTCAACCCAAGTATGCCCAAATCTATGCACGTATGGATTGATAGCTTACAAATATTTCGGCAATGAGACATTTAAACACTTACCATTCAGAGTCCCACTGGTAGACAGAGCACTGCTTTGTTTTTGGTTGTCATAAGCAGGACCAATGGTACTAAGATCCTGGAAGGAAAATATTTTAAAAGGGAGCTATATAATCAAGTCAATCTGGTAGTGTTCAGAAAAAATAGATTCTCATAGAAAAGTGTATTTTCTAACAGCAATTAGATGTCGAAAGGGACAATCTCAAGAATCTGAAACTTGCAGAGGTCCCAAATTTGGATAACTCAGGCATCAGCAAATAACACATGTGAGACAGGCCAAGTGTAAGTTTAGAGTGGGTTAAAAATAATGATGAATGGAAATCAATCCCCAGTTTAGGGCAGTTTAAAGGAGCAATGGCAGATGGGAGTACATTATTGTTGTTAAGTGCCGTCAAGTCAGTTCTGAATCATAACAACGCTGTAGAGCGTTTCAGAGGCTGTAAATATTTCCAGGAGCATAAAGTTTCCTTTCTCCTATGAAGCAGTTGTAACCTTGAACCGTGACCTTTTGGTTGGCAGTCCAGTGCTTAAGCTCCCTTTATAAAGCTCCCAGTAGGAATTCAGGCCCAGAGTGGTCAGAAATTCTCGTTTAAGAAGAAAAGACAGAAATTGGAATTTCTTTATGAAGTCTTAAATTTCCAGTCCTAGCAAATCCAACATTTTAGGGCACAGCTGAAAAATCTGACAAATGTGACCCCTGCCATTTAACACAATGAATGGTAATTGATTCATGCTAAGATCAAGATGCAACATAAATTCTGTTTTTCTTCTTAACAAAGAATGGTTTTATAAGCAGATTAGAAATCATTTAGAATAGCATATTTATGTCACAAATGAGAACACTGAGTCCTTGTATTATGCTACAGGATAAGCACTGGACTACTAACTGCAAGACTGGTGGTTCAAACCCACCAGCTACTTCTTAGAAACCCTACAAGGTAATTATGAATCAGAACTTACTCAATACTGAACAATGTAACAACAAAATTAAAAATATATATATTTCCTAGTTATAACATTTTGGGGAATAATTAGGACTAAAAAACTGGTCTCCTAATTTAAAGTTAGTGTTGTTTCTACACATAGCAATAGCCCTTTATTTAAAGCCCACCATTTTTGTGTGGTGCAGTATGATAAGCACTCAACCTCAAGGTCAGTTTGAACCCCAAGGTTGACAGCAGTTCAAACGCACCAGCCAGCTCTTCGGAAACCATATACAGCGTTGTTATGAGTCAGAATTGATTTAACAGCACTTAACAACATTTTAAAAGGTCTGATGTAGCAGTGAAAGATAAACATTTGATTGCTAAATATAAAATTGGGGTTCAAACCCACCAGCTGCTCCTCAGAAACCCTATGCAGGGTTGCTATGAGTCAGAACTGAATCCACAGCACTTAACAACCACATTTTAAAGGCACATAAAGACAGTGGGTTATGTGACAAAGATGCAAATGAAAATAAAACCTGGTTACCTAACCCATAACATTTAATAGAAAAAGGGGCATATAAAATGCATACTAACATACCTGATCCAAAAGTCCAAATTTGGGGTAATCTTCTTCTGGATCTTTACTCCCAGGATCAGGGTGTTCCTTTACCAAGAATACATCTCTTTCTTTACTCTAAAACAAAACAATGTTTTATGGAACTGTAAGGTAAGCACTGCCCTTCTAACTGCAAGGTCAGCAGTTCAAACTCACCAGCCGCTCTTTGGAAACACTATACAGAGTCTCTATGAGTCAGAACCAACTCGATGGCACTTAACAACAACAAATTTACACTTCAAAGTACTGAATGGATGGAAAACTACTAAGTCAATTCCTATGGTTTGGTCTCCAAAATATAGAGCATATTTTCTCCTCTGATTAGAAAATGACCATCATAAAATTTCAGATGATAGAGTAAAAAAAAAAAAGGTGAATCAAAGTCTTCCATAGTCCTCACATATTCCTCCACCCCTCAGGTAATCACTGTTTGAAGCTTGCTGTTAACACCCCCAGGTGCTCTCTTCTAGTCTCTTTACATTAAGGACAGTAATCTTTTAGAACTTGTCTTTTTTAAATCAAAGAAAAATAATGAACTCTCATTTCAATATAAAATTATACTTGCGAAAATGCAGCCAACAAAGGTTTCACCATGGATGATATTCACTCAAGACAAAATGTTTGATTTTGTATGTGAAAATAGCTAAAATTCACAATTTACCGTACGTATATCACTGTCACATAGATTTGTTCGTTCACATTTTCTTAGTCATCACATTATTTCAGTGAGCCTAAATAGAATTTAATTCTTAGTTTACTTACCATTGTTTTAACAATGTTATTTGGCCACGTCATTTTCCCAGGTCTCTGTCTAGTTGTCATGCACTCCCAGTATTTATCAATAAATGGTATAATATCCTAATTTTTAAAACAAAATATATTAGAACTTTATAATAGCTGCTTTTAAATCTATGCTCACAAAAGAAAGAAAAATTGAGCCTTTTCAAAATCCTATCAGAATAAAGTTAAAAAAAAGTATATGTTTAGTCTTTCAATCACTGAACAATTACATAGAGACACAATTTAAACTGCAGGAATTTAAAGTACATAAGCAGTCCCTGCCTAACAAATAAGTTCCGTTTCTAAGTCTGTCTCTAAGTTGAATTTGTACATAGGTTGCAACAGTTCGGTATGTTTCATATTTAATGTCAAATGCTTGTCTTTGTATATAGTGTACTTTCTAAGCATAAAAACTGTATTTCCAGATACACTAAAAATATCTTTAACAAAACAATATGGTATTAATGTTTTGATACATGTCTCAAAGTAGCACCCATTTGTTATTATGAACCATTATATGTACCTCAAGTTTTTAATATAATGTTTTATGTGGGTCAGTTCTTAACTACATATTGTACGTGAGTGTGACATTTCTAACCCAAACACTGTTTGTACACAAGTCATACCCACACAGGATTTACAATCTAGCTGGAGGGAAAAATATCTTTGATTATCATATGAAAGATGAGGACTTCAAAATTATTTTCTCCTGAGCTCCTATTTCTATCTGCTTGAGGCATTTGTACCTGAACATCCTAAAAGTACCTCAAAACTTCTTGTGACTAAAAGTGAACTCTGTTTCTCACTTTATAACCTTAATTCTAATAATCTCTGATTGCTAGAAACCAAAAGGAGTGCTAGTAGAGTAGTGGTTATGAGTCAGACTGCTAAACTCAAAGTCAGCAGTTCAAAACCAGCTGCTAGATAGGAGAAAGTGGCTTTCTGCTCCCGTAAAGATTTATAGCTTTGGAACCCCAATGTAAGGTCACTATGAGTCAGAATCGACTGCACGATACACCACCACCACCACTAGAAACCGGGAGTCATCTTTGATTGTTTTCTCACTCCCTTCGTATCTGTTGTTGTTGTTAGGTACCATAGAGTTGGTTCCGACTCATAGTAATCCTGCACAGGGTTTCTGGGGCTGTAAATCTTTACAGGAGCAGAACGCCTCATCTTTCTCCACAGAGCTGACCTTGTGGTTCGCAGTCAAACGTTTATGCTATGGAGCCAGTGCATAATCCCAACCTGGCCCACCCTAGTCACAAGGAAACAATCACGTATATGAAACCGAGGAACACGCTGCCGGACACCTGTCTAGGCTTCTGAAAATTATAAATGTCATAGCAGACGAAAATAACAAAACAAATAAGTTAGGGCATTGTTTTAGGTTAGAGACAAAGAGACATTACAACAAAGTGTAGTCTGTGATCCTTGATCAGATCCTGAATGGAGAAAAACTTGTAAAGCTATTACTAAGACAATAAGAGAAATACAAATTGTGTATTAGATAGGCATCGCATCAATGTTAAATCCTTGAGTATTATTGTATGTTAGAGAATATATCTTCATTCTTAGGAGATGCATGCAGAAATATTATCCACTATACTTTATCAGTGGTATACTATAATGATATCTGCAATTTAGTCTCCCATATCTTAGGGGAATATAGAATATGGGGAGATAAAGCAAATATAGTAAAAAAAACAACAACAAAAAAAACCCGACAAATCCTAGGTAAAGAATAATTCAATGTACTAATTAGTTTGAATTTTTCTTAAGTCTGAAATTTTTCAAAATAATAATTTGGGAAAAAATAAATGAAGGAAAAAATCCAATCTAATGATGATACTCCTTATTTGAACACTCTAAATAAAGGAAAAAGAGAGGGGAGGGGAGGCAGAGAAGAACACTCTGTTGGATCCTTGAGTATGTAGGATTGAATCCAAACTGCTTAGTAGACAAGGCCTTTGCCAATCAGACCCTAACTTTAGAGCTCTCCCAAATACACCCTGCATCAGTATTTTTCCAAACAGTAAATAGTATTCTAGTAGGTTATGAAGTAAGGTTTGTGTATCAAAACCAGTATTCACTAGAATAGTAAATACCAGAAAGCAGAGGGCAATGATTGGAGGATAAGCATTATTTCATGAAACTTTTATGAAGTGGGTAAGCTTGAAAAGTTTACTTGTTGTTCATTATATTTCTTACCATGGATTACAGTAGAAAAAACTCACTCACTAATGGGCTAATCACCTAATTTTGATTTTTGTCATATAGCTTAATAATAAAAGATAATTCTTCTTGATAATGAAAGACACATATAAACTAATACCATTCCCACAAAATCTAAACTACGCATCTTTTTAAAAAAAGTTTTTATTGTGAATTGAGTGATAGTTTACATGGGAGAACATCAGTTTAACACTCATCCTATAGCATTTAGTTTCATTGCAATGATTACAATTCCCTCCATGCAGCTTCATTCAACAATATTTGCTTCTATTCCCTCTGGGTTTTGTTTTGTTTTTTTTTTTTGATGTACACAAAAACACTCAGGAATATATAATCATTTAAACAACCAAGGGCACACATTCTGCAAGCCTGCCTCCTGGCTGCCAGCACACAGCCTTTCTCTTCTCATGAGTCTGGGGTCCTCAGCTGCTCTTATCTCTCCATGTCATCAGCTCTGCCTCCATCCCTGGTGTCACTGTTTCTCTCAATAGGGTCCCTATACTATACATCTTATAAGAACAGCTAAACTAGACTAAGGAGGTTTACCTCACATCTGATTATATTAATCATGAGACAGATTAATTGTTTCCTTTTATAAAGTCAGTCAAAACTACTTAAGGATTCATTCTAATAGCAAGGGCAAGTACATATTATACTATGAGCATACTAGAATTCAGTGAATTAAATGAAATAAGTACAAGGTAGCTACAAGTGCACAGTCACATATTCTTAAAAATTGTTGGGAAAGCATATGTTTAGTATATTTAGATGTTCCACTGATTCTTTGTCATAATTGCAATTCCATCAACTTCATCTGTACCTTATCTTTGGAGAACATGGTTTTTGGATGTTCATCCTGGGTTCGGGATTGCCACGTTAGGTTGGCCAAAGCACTAAGGCACATTTCCTTCAAGTCTACCAAAAAAGAAAACAAAAGGGTATTTGTAGTACTAAATCTATCTCATCCTTAAGAGAATATTCAATTAGATGGTCAAAAATTAAAAATTACAGCAGCAAAAATCAGAGTCATCATTTGATCTGAAATGCTTAAAAGGAACCATTCAGGGCCAAACCCCAGCTTAACTTCTACCAGATACCATGCAAAGATCTCCTGATTCTGCTAAGCTGAACCTTATTTCTTATCCAGTTAACTAGAGGTAACCAGTTTTGAAGAACTCCAGAACCTGTACTTACTTGCTTGCTTCCGGAGGAAATAGGTATTTCCACTATGATGGCACACATTACAATGGAAGCTGTAGTTGGTCATGAAAGGTAGACAGGAT